CGTGAATAAAAATGGAAGGGAAAATACTATGAAATACCTGCAATGCCTGGAAAAATAAAGACGGAGAAATAAAGAATAATATGTATAATTTTAATTTATTAAGAAAAAAATAACCTAGTGAAAGGTCCTTGGTCTTCAGTCAAAACCTTTCTGTTGAGAAATTGAGAAAAATTTGAGAAAATTTTGCTAAAATCAATCTGAAAATGTGTTACATTAATTTATTTTTAATATTCATCCATAAATAAGTTATTTATTTAATATGCAATCTCTTTTTCTGCCCCCAAATGTCTTAGTTAAAATTTCAATCATTTGTTTAAAAATACCCAAAGCTCTCTTTTGATTTTAGGATTATGGATATAGAATTTTTGGCAATTTATTATTCTATTTCTCTGTCCATAGAATTTAAGAGAAATCCTATTAGCCAGACATTATGCTGGTAGAGAGAAAGAAAAAAATACCATAGTTATTATTGTTTGTTACCGCTAGTGATTGATTGACTGTATTTTCCAATGTGCTTGATTTTGACTTATTTTCTGATAGTTCCAGCCTTTCAAGGTAATCTAGACAGGATACCAAAACCGTGAGTACAATACTACATTTATTGTATGGTTACAGTAACAGAAACCTGTAAGTCTGAAAGCATTTTTCCCTACCTTTACTCTATGTTCCTGGGAACTAGAGAGAGTCAATTTTGAGACACATCCTCCATCCTGACCCCTGTTTTGGACTCAGATTTCTCTTATCAAATCATTGCCTAGACTGAGGGTCTTACTTATGTCTCACAGCCCATTACATATACCCAACTTTTATAGTTTGAAACCAGGGCCCATGGTCTAGCATAATGCAAACATAATTAATTTTAGTTTATCAATAAAGTATGGCTAAGCAAATCATGATTTTAAAGTTCCAAAGATCTGTGATCAAGCTCACAAAATTTACAAGATCAAAAGATCTGTGATCAAGCTGATAAGGGAGCCCTTACCCTTTTTGAGAAGGAGCAAGGTCCTTCTTTAAATGAGCTGCTGCTTTACCAAAAATAAATAAATAAATAAATAAATAAATAAATAAATAAATAAATATCTAAGACTCATTAGAGATTATTTCACTTGATATTATTTACTGATTTGTTTCTGTACCCTAACCCAACCCAAAAGATTTTTTCTCCCCAAAACCTCTGTGCCAAACACAAAACCAAAGTATTTATGACTCTTTAAATGCTTTTACACATTTCATCAAAAGAATAGGTGTTCGATCCTGACTGGCTCCAGGTTGACTCAGCCTTCCAGCCTTCCAAGGACAGTAAAATGACAAGCCAGATTGTTTGGGGCAATATGCTGACTCTATAAACTTCTTAGAGAGGGCTGTAAAGCACTGTGAAGCAGAATATACATGCTATTGTTATTACTAATAACTGTGACAATTTATCATAATGACAGAGTTACAAAGAGGACACCTAAGAAACTGTATTTTACCATTTACCTATAAGAAAGTGAAGTACATTAAGAGATGGCTTTTGTTTTTACCATAATAAAGACAACTCTCAAAATGTTCAGTAACAATTGTCCATGGATCAAAAATGTCTTGTTTCTGTTGCTATCCTATATTGCCCTACAGTAAGTATGGGGGCATTTTGGCAAATTTTCAAAGTGAGATTAAACAAATTGTTTCAAAATATGGTGGCGGATAAAACCAGTTATCTGCATTTTTGTTTAAAAGTAACCAGTTGCCATGGGTTCCTAAAATGATTTGATTTAGCCATCTGTTTTATCATTCAAATACCTAAGTGTGAACACTATCCAGATGGCTTTCATGCATGTTCCACAAAAATATGGAAAACAGTTGCTGTAAAAGTGAATTATGATAGGGACGTCCACTCCCCCAGATATTGTTGGACTGCAATTCACATAATTTATTAACCTTGTTGGCAAGATGTTCAATCTAGAACACACAAGGCTATTGAACGAGCAAGCTGATAAATGTACCTCACAGCAAGTTAGATGTAAGATTAAGCTTCATGCAGAAGTAACACATTACATAAGGCCAAGTCCAGAACCAATATGAGAATCAGCTTCTTACTAAACTACAGAAATCAAAATGTAATGAACTTTTCAATTTGATCACAAGAAAAGGTCCCTCCTTCGCCTTGTCCTGAGAGACTTTGATCTCTGAAACCCCAAAATTCCATCACTCTAAGCATATACAAAGAGCCTTTACAACATGGCAGATATTAGAGGAGTCACAATTATTGCAGGGCAAGTCTTAGAAGGAATCCTCCTTCCCTTTCTTTCTCCTTTTCCTCCATCACTTATATATAAGTGACTTTTTGCATTTTACATATATTACTTTTTAATTCCAGTGCTGACTATGGCGATAAAACTTCCATTGTGAGAACATGCAGCAAACAGAGAGGCATCCATTGGTAAAGTTGACTGGATTACAAATCCATCAGGGCTTCACTTTGAATCAAAAAGAAAAGGATAGCACACAGAAGAATCCAGGATCCAGATTGTGGGGGCAATAAGCTGACTTTGTATAAATATACAAAAGTATGAAGGCTATTGCTTAACGCATTGTAAACCGCCCTGAGTCTCCGGAGAAGGGCGGCATATAAATTAAAGCAAAACACACACACACACACACACACACACACACACAAAAGAATCAATGCCTTTGGATGAGGCAATGATTCAGCAGAATTTCTGAATAAATTATATTGGGCTGTCACAATATAAAATTGGGAGGGAAAGTTGCCCTACCGGAGAAACAATCCCCCTCATTTTGAATTCTTCTATCTCAAAGGGAAATGGATCACTAAGGCAGCGGCTCTGAACATTTTGTCCCCTTGCAAGCTTTGTTTCTCTGAGGCAACTTCTCTGAGTGATCTGAGTCCAGGGTTCCTTAATGCCCTTGTGCTAAACTTGAGCCTAGTCAGTATAGCCCAGGGGTGAAATCCAGTAGGTTCTGACAGGTTCTGGAGAACCGGTAGTGGAAATTTTGAGTAGTTTGGAGAACTGGCAAATACCACATCCGGCTGGCCCCAGAGTGGGGTGGGAATGGAGATTTTGCAATATCCTTCCCCCAGGAGTAGGGAGGGAATGGGGATTTTGCCGTATCCTTCCCTTGCCGTGCCCACAAGCCATGCCCACCAAGCCATGCCATGCCACGCCCACCAAGCCACGCCCACAGAACCAGTAGTAAAATCATTTGGATTTCATCACTGGTACAGCCTCAAAGCAGACAGAAGATCATTGGGATCGTCTATTGACAAAGACTTGCAGTCTCAGTCCCAAGAAGGTTGCTGGGCCTTCCAGTGTCTCACCTTAGTTCCCCTAATTCATTTCATTGGTAGTCTATGTCAAGCGGAATCCTGCCAAATGCGACATAGTAAGCTGTCAAAACAACAGTTTTTAAAAAGTATTGCTAACCACAGAAGTGTCAGAAAGACTAAAGTAAGTCAAATTATTCATGGCACAGAGGGAAAAATGCATAAAATAAGGTCTTCTATATTTATATATAATATTCTCCTACAGAAAAATTGCAGACAAGCTTTCCCTTCAGTTCAATTTTGGAAAGGAAAATGTTTAGCTCCCTGTCTAATACTGGGAAGCAAAGATTAAGAAAGAACAGAACCATCTCAGCTAAATACAGGTTTGGCTTAGCAATGAAAACCAATCTCAATGAGCGTTCAGAACTACTTTCTCTGTTTCTGAGAGTTCTTTCCAATACAAAGTAAAGATGGTTTGGTGGGCAAGAGCTTTATTCCATTGCATTCTGGGATTTAAAGTTTTCAGCACAAGTTTGCGGGAGGCGGGGAGCTGTAATTCTATCAATATCTCCTTTCTGGAGTGGGAAAGTGAGGAGGAGGAGGCCAAGGAAATGAAATAAGGAAAGCAAGATGATATTTAGACATGGTAAGTACCGGTAATCACTTAAAATATATGTATTTTTAAAAAATGACCCCAAAAAGCTCACAATGCCTTTACAATCGTAAAGTGGCAAGTTTGATCTAAAAGTTGAATCTATGGAACAGATTTTTGAAACATAAACAAAATGGCCTGAGGATGACACATGGATCACAAGAAAATTTAGCATCTTGAACCTCTGGTTAATAATTTCAGGTTAATTTCATGTTAACAGTGTTGTTAGAACTGACAAATAATAAAAGAAATGACATGCTACAAATAAAATTATAGATTAGCATGTTATAATAACATTGACATTACAGATGTAAATCTTAAAGCATCAACTTTCATGTTCCTATATCTCACCATCCAGTTCTTTTAAGTTCTTCATAAATATTCCTATTATTCACAGCCTAAGGGCTGTGAAATATTTACAGACCCTTCACATTCTAGACATAAACTATTTCAACTCCTACCCTCAAAACGACGCTATAGAGCACTGCACACTAGAAGAACTAGACACAAGAACAGTTTTTTCCTGAATGCCTTCACTCTGCTAAACAAATAATTCCCTCAAGACTGTCAAACTATTTACTAAGTCTGCACTACTATTAATCTTCTCATCGTTCCCACCACCCATCTCCTTCCACTTATGACTGTACGACTGTAACTTTGTTGCTTGTATCCTTACGATTTATATTGATATTGTTTCCTGATTGCTTATTTGTACCCTGTGACTATCATTAAGTGTTGTACCTTTTGATTCTTGATGAACACGTCTTTTCTTTTATGTACACTGAGAGCATACGCACCAAAACAAATTCCTTGTGTGTCCAATCACACTTGGCCAATTAAAAAATTCTATTCTATTCTGTTCTATTCTATTCTATTCTATTCTATTCTATTCTATTCTATTCTATTCTATTCTATTCTATTCTATTCTATTCTATTCTTGTAAATAAGAAAGGGGATATATAAAAGTTATGCTTTCTTCTATTTCCAAAAATGGCATTGGATATATCAATGGCTTTGTTGTTCTTATCTGCAAGGTCTCTTATATCCTAGTTGCTTCTTTATTCAGCATATCACCTTCTGATCCCATCGCTAAAGCCTCAGTGTCAGATTTCCTTAGTGATCCGGACCTTCTTTCTACATAACTCACTGAGGCTGAAATTCAGACTGAAAACAGTTAATTTGTCATGAATCCAGAAGGACAAGGAAACATCCCTTGCCGATGATATAAAATGGTAAGTTGCATTTGAGTTTTTAAATGATTAAATTACATGGCAGTATTTTATCTATGGTGTACATGAAGAACAGATGGTGGCCTGTCGTATTCATCCTGAGATTAGATAGATAAAGTCTAGGCCTTATGTTAGCCTCCACCTGTTCTAGGATTTATTTATCAGTAAAGAATAACAGGTTACAGAATTTAGACAAATATGTTTCTTTTTTAAAAAATTAACGTATATCTTAAAAACTCTATATTTAATGCACTCGGGAAAGGTTTCTACAAACTATTTCAACTAATGGCAGCTAAAGGAATATAAAGGAATATAAGGTTCATTGGCTAAAAAGAGAATTAATCATCTCTGCTCTCATTATAAATATTAGCACTAACTGCTAATAAATAACAGCAGGTGGTTTACACAGGACAAGCAGCAAAATAAAAGGAAATTTGAAATAGTGGTTTGGCTTGTTTGTTTGTTTTTATAGTAGGCAATGGCAAAGTTATATTCTGCATTTTATATGAAAGTAGTTTATTCTGCACACTGGCAAGGTGTTTATTTTGAAACAATCAAAAAGTCAGTTAAAAGAGAATTTACAGTTAGAAAAAGATAACACAAATCCTTTATTTCCAATGCATTCATGATTACTTGTTTTATTTGAAACAAAACAATGTTTATGTCTATATTAATTTTAATGAAAAGCTAGAATTCATTTTCCATTTTTTGGGCAGGGTCTTATACAACTTCCAATGATTTTCATTTTATTTTATTGTGCTACCTATTTGGGAAAAAATTGAAGAATAGGTCCACTGGACTGTATATCTTTTCTATTTCATTTCAAAAAGGACATGTTTTGTTTTTTTTTAATAAAAACACATTTCCTATTTCAAACTTTACTAACATGTAAAGATTTAAGGTAACAATTTCCATAATTTTCCTCCATACTTTCCTTCATGGCTATACCATTAGAGAACAGAATGCTATGGGCATTCTACTGAGGAAATTATATGCACTGTGTATCTTCCTTGTTTTTAATTAACTCTAAACATTGCATACAGTAATTACTCATAGTATCTAATTATATTTTTGAGTGATTTGTTTATTGCTATTGTTAATGAGGATGAAGATTTCAAGGATCTTGATACACAGTATGTCCATTTAATTATAGGTTAAAACCTTATTCCAAAGTAATCAGGGAGGATTATTAAAACTATTGTGGGGAAGCAGAGGGGCTGCTAAGAATAATTATACTCCAGCTTATACTGGGAAAAAAATGTCGAAGTTGTATCCTGGTTGGTATAATTTTATTTTATATATTGATTTAAAATTTATAATATACTTTTTGGACATTGCTTAGAAAAGCCCATACCGTACCTATAAATTAGTTTTAATTTTGTTCCTTCTTTCTTTCAAAAATTCAGAGGAGCATCTTCATTTTCCTCCTGTCCTCCATTTTATGCATATTGACACTGAAATATAAGCTGTGCTTGCTTCATCCTGAGTGTTTCCTCGAAACCTGGGATTTAAATGATTTGAGTATTTATCTACCATTTCAGAATATCATGCCAAATAATACTGCTGTGTCACTCTGAAACAGATAGTTATCTTGGGAACTTACTTATTAATGTGAAAGTTTGCACATGGTTTTGAAAGTCTCTAGTCCTTTTGCATGATTAACAATAAAATAAATTGCAAAAAAGCCATTGGATTTATCTCCAGGGTTTTTTGCCCATCCAGTAAGATCACACAAAATGGAAGTGTTCTGGGTCCCCTCAACTAAATACTGTCACATGATGGGACCAAAGAAGTGGTCCTTCTTTGTCCCAGTGCCTAGCCTTCAGAATAGCATTTTCCCCCCGCCCCCCATAGATCCACACAGCTTCCATCTTCCAAGAGTGAGGAATGTGGCCTGTAATCCACGGGTGCAGTATTTTGTAGCTGGGTCAGACATGTGAATTTAGTTTTGCCATTTCTGGCTATATGACTGAGAGCACTGCAATGAAAGCATATATTTTGTTCTCTCCTTCTCTCTTTCTCTCCTGATGATAGGGATTTTTTGATTGTGCAACTTCATATGACTTGTCTGGTTCTGGACTCCAAGGAAACCACTGAGTGAAGATAGGGTGTAAATGCCTTTCTACTTGCTATTTCTCCCCTGGCTCAACTCTTTCAGGTGGTCATCTATTACAATGCAATATTAGAACAGCTCTTTCAAATTATCTGGGCTGCCTTGTCTTACTAGTTCATCTCTTAGTTCCTCAGGAAGCCCTTCTTTAAATTGGTCAGTCAGAACCAGCTCATTCCATCCCATATCTAATAATTTAAGATCCAACATTCTTTTGCTGATTCTTTTGCCTGAGTTGGCAAATTTCATGATTTCAAACATCGAATTGTGAAAGCAGTTTCTAAATCTTTGCATGAAATTTTGATAATTATCCAGACCAAGGTTATCCAACTCAGCTATAGGTATGGCCCATCTGGCTGCCCCTTTTTCAAGAAATTCAGTGTGAAAGTTACTTTAAAGTGATCTGTGGAAACCCCTTTGGGCAACCCACCATAAACAATTCACCGTGAGTTATGAATGTTTGGGATTGGTCTTGAGCTGCTCAAATTTCTCTGGTAACAGAAAAACCAGCATTGCTACAGACTACTGTACTGATGCTGGCTGAGATAGATTCCATTCCAACTGCTATGATAGTTACATCATGGCATATTGAAAGTTAGCTATTTGTAAATCTATCTGTTGTTGATATTGCAACAAAACTTGAGCAAGGTGTTCTGAGGATAGTTGAGTACCCTGAGGATTGGAGGCCATCTCCATTAACAAAGACTTTCAGTCTTGTTTGAAAGAGACCATGAGACTTGAAAGTCTAATGCCAGTCCTACTAGGCATACAAGACCATGAGATCAACTTCACATGAAAGCTAAAACTATTTTTTATTGAAATTGGCTATAGTATCAAAATCTTGAAAGTTTGATTGTACAGTATGTGCTCTTTATTTCAATAGTTCAGTGAATTAGATAGATGTCTGATCCAAATGTTATTTGGCCATTCTAGTCTTTAAAAAAGCTTTGCCTAAATAACAGCTTCTGTATATCTCCAAAGCCATCTTCTTTATCTTCACAATAGGCTGGAAATAACAGAAACTTCTTACTCTGCTTATATTATACTTCCCCTCCCTCTTATATTCAATGAATCAGGGAGGTGTTTGCAAATATTTGCAAGTCCCTGCAAATATTATCTTGCTTCCCAAGACTTAAATATTTTTTCAGTTTTTTGCAGATAACAATGTGTGTATATTATTGTGAAAGTTAAACATGCAAAATTCTGTTATTGTTATCTCAAAGTGTAGTTCTAATCTTCCTGTAGAGTTGAAGTTTTGGTTTGGTCTACCTAATGGTGTTGATTCCTATATTGTAGTAGGAAGACTTGATGTAGCCTGTCCAGGTCAGAATTCTTCATTGTTAAGAGTTACTATTTTAATTAGGAAATGATTTCCTTGAGCGTTTGAGTGCCTTGCTGTCAATAGGGCTAGGATATGATGTATAATTTCATGTATCTACATTACAGTGAAATTCTAAAATGCAAAGTGAATTGCCTGTGCCTGATCTGTTTATCTTTATATATGGACTCTTTTGGTGTTTTGCAGAAAAGCTTAAAATGACCTTCTTAACAAATACACTTCAACCCTGATACAATACTCCAAAATCTCAAATAACATAATTTGATCTAATTGTTTCAAAATTTGCTAAATTAGAAGCACAGATTTTAAGCAATATTCTTGGAGAGATTTGGTTTTGGGATTCCCTCATTTTTCAAATAATGCCCTCTACATTTCCTTCCTTTTCCTTTTCCTTTTCTCATGGCATCATATATGTGTGGGGATAGAAAAATACCTAAAATAAGGTTTCTGAGTTTTGACCGTAAGCTCAGATTGATATTAATGGAGCTATAGACCAGAAGCTAGTTTATGCTTCCAGGTTTGTTTGTTTTTTAAGCAGTGTCAATTATGTCTACATCCTAAGTCTTTTAAGAGAAATACAACAACTTTGATTTGTAGATCTTGGAATCATTGTTTTCCTACATAATCACAGTTGGTAGGGAAAGATTTATTATGTGGTATATATGTCACCATGCACTCAGGAGATAGGCAAAGGCATGATGATTTCATTTCTGCCATGATATATAAGTGTTTCCATCGCACAGAGACTTACTGATTATAAACCAGTTGTATTTTGCCATTCAAATGATCGGCATCAGGCCTCCAAAACTGGAGGCTAACTTGATTTTGGCTTCAGAGAATACTCAGTACGCATACACAGAGTTAGATACACAAACAAACAATCCCATCAACCAAATCTTTCTTGATTTGTCAATCCTAAACATTCTGTAGAGAAGGGGAAAGAAAGAAACAACTATTTATGATACCCTCTCCACCCGAAAGTAAAATTTGTAATGGCATTGTGTTTTACACTGCAAGCCTTCAGTCATTTTGTATAAAATCACTTTTATAAGGTTAACAAATCAAATGGACAGATGATCAATGTCAGACCTATTGAGAAACTGCCTGTGCAAACAGAATACAAGATTAGCTTCAAGTCTATCACTCAAGGCATTGATTTCCATGTGTATATTAATGCACAACTTGGATATGTCTTGTAAAAGTGACCTTGATCTTAAAATGCATTTAAACACGAGTCTCACATTAAACTCTGAAAGATATTTAAGGTTCATAACTATTCATATATCATGAACATTTTCAATATTAACCCAATTTATTGGAGCAAGTTTAAAACAAAATATTTATTTAAAGCTAAATTTAGTGAAAAAGAAAAATAACACAGATACATGCACAGGCATATAATGTGTGTTTGTATGTGTATAATATGCAATGTAAGAAAAATTAAAATAACAAAACATTTCAAAGATGTGTAGAAAAAGAAAAATATATAATGAGGACTATCATATAAATTGGGTTATTATATTAATACATATGTTCTTAACCAAGAATGCAAAG